GGCAAAGAAGAGTGGGATACTTTAAGCCAGGGAGAAAGAGGAGTTGAGAAAGATTAGTGCACCTTGTCTAAAAGTATACATATCCTTTATAAATATGCTGGACTTATTTTACTTTTGTTTATTTGGACTAAATTAAAGTGACACTAATCTGAGGAGTTGAATCTTAAAAATACATTGAAGTCCCCTAACTATTAACAACACAGCACCTTATTTGTGTATCATTCAGCTGTAGATCATCAAACCATCTCTAAATTGGTGCTGACACTGTCCTCCCTCTCCCATGGTCCCGGTGTGTGTTGTAAAGTAGCCAACGCTCCAAGCTCACTCCCGTGTTGAACTACAATCTCACGGTTAGCTAGCTAATTTGTATTGAAGTTATAGTCTAATCACGGGAGTGAGCTTGGAGTTGTGGCCACTTAACAACTCACATATGGACCATGGGAAACAAAAGAAGCCTCCCTCCAGAAGGAAGGGCAGTGCCGGCACAAATTCAGAGATGATTTGAGGATCTACAGCCGAGTGATAGACAAATAAGCTACATTTTTGTTAATAGAATACTTAAATGCATTTTTAACATTTTACTCCTGGGTTTAGTGCCACATTATTCTAATGTGATTATTAAAAGTAATGGTAAAAGCTTTGTTTATAGTTTAAGATTTTGTAGGTACAAGTCAGAAGCCATACTTTCTATCATATACACACAGAAGGGAACTTATCAAAACTGGAGCAGTTGCTAATGGCAACCAATCAGCATCTCTCTTCAGTTTGCTCAGGTAAAATTTGAAAATGAGACCGAGAAGCTGATTGGCTGCAGTGCAAATCTGCTCCACATTTTGTCTGCTCCAGCTTTGATATACAGGTGAAACTCGAATAATTAGAAAATCGTGCAAAGTTCATTTATTTCACTAATGCAACTTAAAAGGTGAAACTAATATATGAGATAGACTCATTACATGCAAAGCAAGATAATTCAAGCCGTGATTTGTTATAATTGTGATGATTATGGCTTACAGCTCATGAAAACCCCAAGAACCCCAAATCCACAACCTCAAAAAAGTAGATTATTACATGCAATCAATAAAAAGAGGATTGTACATAGAACAATATCGGACCTCTGAAAAGTACAAGCATGCATATGTACTCAGTACTTGGTTTGGGCCCCTTTTGCAGCACTTACTGCAATTACTTTTGCACGATATTCTAATTATTCGAGTTTCACCTGTATTCCGCACACAGTGTTTCCGTCTTTGTAATGTAGACCATTACATTACTGCTCTTGCTATCTTATTGTAAATCTGTGCATTAATATTGTAAATCTGTGCATTGAGCTTTTCAGTGGAGACAGTATAGCCTTTCTAATAAAGATTTTGTCCGATTGCTGTCAGTCAACAGAAATGCTGAAGGCTCTGCCATACAGACAGCCACTACAGAGAGGACCTAAAACGCACTGTACATATAAAATATGCCCATGAAATCAGAATGCAAGTAAGATATTCATTTCAGATAAACATTACAATCATGACTCAAAGTACTCCCTAAATATACATTGAAACAGCTAAATTTCAGGCAACCAGCTAATTGAACAGTTCATTTGCATGTATGTGCATTGCCAAAGGATTTATACTTGTCTTTAGCCCAATCTTGTGAGCCCGGTACTCCAGTCAAGATAGCACAGTCAGGTTCTTGACATCTCTGCAGATTACACTGCAGTTAAACAATCCAACTTCTGCAGGATCCACCCAGCCTGTGACTGGCCAGTGGACAGTTAAGCAATCCAAACTGTGCAAGACCCAGCCTTGCCTGTGACTGGGCAGTGGAGGATCAACAGCACACTGATGAGGTAATTTTTCTGTTCTCCCCTTCCTGTAAGCATGTTCACTTAGTTAGATTAACTAAGTCAGTACTCTGAAATAGAGTGTTTTTTGGCTCAAAGTGCTGCCCCCTCCCTTCCTCAGAAGAAAAATTGGGGGTGGGGGGGGGGTGCAGGAAAGAAGTGGGAGAAGGGTTGAGTCCCCCATGTGGCAGGGCTGTGTCAACACTTGACCGCCAGAGTCCCAACTGTGTTTTCCCTGGTTATACATCTCCCCTTCACATCCTGATGTCCCATGAACTCTGACAGAGTCTACACAAGGTCTGCCTAGGCTGAAAGATTAAAATACTGTAAGTAATCGTCTGCATGATCTTGGAATCCTAAGGGATGGGCAATACATGCCAATATCAATGCCTCTCACTTACCCCCGACCACCCTAAACGACTCAAGCTCTTTGTATATGCTGTGACCCCCACTGTGGGGAAATATGACTTGATTATATGCATGTGTACGCTTTATTTTCATATACCTTAATAAAGAATTTAAAAAAAAAAA